ACAATGGACAGGTTACGACGATAGTTTTCAAAACATTCTCTTTTCTTCAAATCAAAACAATACAACGGAATAAAGTTTGATAAAATGAGTGGGTCAGACCCAGGACAGGATTTAAACTCACGCACCTGTATGGAGAAAAGGGCTTTCTGTGATAGTATTGAACATGTACGCAGTAACAATATAAATCTGGTTGAATGTACAATGTCTGTAAATCATTTCTGACAAGACTGTAGCATTGAAAAACTCAACTCCTCTTAGAACAAGATAAAGCTACAAGCCATATCTCTTATTTCTTAAGGACTACCCGCGTAATCCTACTCAAAACATTTGAAGAACATCCATCAGTCGGGACATATCGCGCAATGGCATTTTATTGTAATCATGAGAGGTTTCATTTGTGAAATAACAACGGATAGAGCGCGTAAGCAGCATTCGGTACTCAGTTACCGCTTAACATAACGATAGAAAGGCCGACGAAGAAGGAAAACGGAATCGTCAGGTATCATTCTTAAGATTGTATCCACTTACCTTTGAAAAGTTGGAACCACACTGCCGCTTAATTTTTGTACTGAGCCATCGAACATAAACTGATTACTGAAGACATCGAGTTATGTTGAGAACTGCTGAGTTTAGTCTAAACGCGATCTCCAGTAGTTTAATTGCATTTAAATTTAGCAGCAGAAGTTTTGAAAACAATCAATTTGGCAATATCTCCTTTGATTACACAAATGTTATAAGTTAGGGGTAAACTTGAGGTTCGCGATGAAAACTAAACTGCGATTGTTTTCACAGAATTCGTCCAAATTTTGAGATCGATGAAAAACAACAGGTCAGTTATGACTCTTGACATAACTGTATAAAGGCTGGAAGTTCGACTGCGCCATTATAGAAGATCGTAAATGGATGGTCTTCAAAACCTCACGGCAAAGGAAATACATTACTAAGCACGACAAACCGCTTCGCCTTCAGCAATGATGTTTGATAGGTAGTAAGTTTAGAAAAAACAAGTTATAAAAATATATAAATCCTAAACCATAATTATACCTCCTGAGGAAAGCCAGAAACATAAACCTTTTGTCACGAGCAATGGATTTATTTTGATTTTATAATTTTTGGATTAAACAACCATAAAATTTGAAAATTATGCATTTTTATTTCGAAAACTGATAACAGCTGAACGTTGATAGATGCAGTGATGTGATTCAAGCGAGAAAATTCAAGGCGAGAAAATAGCTGAAGTCACAAAGTTTAACAGAAAATAAAGGTCTAATCGTGACGATAAAAGGGCTCCTGAGAAGCAGACACCAGTAGACAGAAAGCAAATTAATATTGTATACACTGTGGAAAAACCACGAGATGGACCAAATAGGAAATATAAACAACTGACCAACTTTCGAATTGCACTTTGCTTTTCTCAGCGGGAAATACGCGAAAAGTAATAGTTCTCTCTGTTGTTTGCGGTTAAAAAGTACAAACGTCTTCAGAAGACAACACAAAGTCGGGCTAAAAGTTCTACACCGATTCGGAAGGTATACGAGTCTTGCCCAACAGCCAGGTAAGATTATTAACAAAGGCAGCTAATAGCCCTCCACATGGAAAAAACACAGCTTGAAACAAACAGGTACTTTTCCATAGGTGCATGAAAAGCCGGCGCACTTAATCAAAGTTAGAATTTTCGATTTCGCAACAATCCAACCCAATGCTTGACAATGTGAAATTTGATGTGGAGTTACAACGAAAACCACCCTGGAAGAGCGTATTCGAACGGAATGAATTCTTCCTTACTCTCATGACAAACAAGTGTATGAAGTGAAACAAATTTAACGTCGACCATTATCCTCAGAAAAAAGGAGAAAATCAATTTGAAAAGAATCCCTGCATTCGAGGTTAATTTTGTATTATGTTTACGTAAGCCATGGGAAGATGCGGTGAAAGCATGTGAATATTGCATGAATGTTTGTACAAATAAAATACCTTTAAAACGATATCAAATATTTCAAAAGTATAAATATTTAATCGACTTTGATTTAAGGAGGCAGAGTGCCTATTCATCTGTCACTTCTGCTTGCCTTCTCGCTGGTGAAGTACAAGCAAAGGAGACGTCTTAGGTAAGTTTTCGTAGTTAGAGGAAGGTATTTATAAAATTGCCCATGTTTGCTTGCAAGTTTAAGTTATTATTTGCCTGCAATTTAGATTGTTTATTTTTCAAAAGTAAATAGAGTGAAGATATTTTCCCGTTGCGGATTCTATTTACTCCCATATATTGTAAAACAGTTTAATCTACCCTAGGCCCTAACAAGAAATATTTGAGAAAAATTCTCGTTGTTATCAAACATTCTAATCCGTCTAATGCTGCAACTTTAACTCATAAGAAACATCCGCTGAGTTAATCTTGGACAAGCGAAACCATTATATCACCCGATTATCCATTTACCCTGATAAATGCGAACAAATAGAAGCATTATGCCTTGAAGTTTAAACCGGTCGGTGACAAAAAAGATAATGAACACGGGGACTTTGGGTATTGTGATCGCATTATCAAAATGAAGGTGAACAATTTGTAGTTGTAAATCAACAAGGAAATACGTTTCGCCGGCCGGTCCAGAGCGCCTCTGATAGTAGACCGCGGCAAAAAATTATTTACTGAATGACGTATCTTGAAATCATAACAAACGTGATAATTCGCAAATCCATTGGCTTCGGGCATGTGTCTACCAGTCGCTTGGTTTCATGGATTTGCTGTTCATGAACTAATTAATGATTTAGAAGGCACTTCATCTGGTAATAAGATATTGTTGTCAATTAAGGATGAAAAACGTGGCTGACAAACGCTGAAGTTTACGAGTAACAGTATTAATAGCTGCAAAGTAATAATGGTGCTTTGTCACACACAAAGGCCAACACAAGTTTCCGTGCTAAGATGTTAAAAATAACGAAACCTTAATGAATGAATGGCAGAGTAATAGTGATAAAACCACAAGATTTAGCGACAAAACAAGGGCGTAAAATCAGTTGAAAACGTAACGAAATGTTTTCGAAAGGACTACAATTTCATTTTGCGAGGGGGCTGCTAAGAAATTTTAAGGAAAAAAAACTCATAACGTTGATGATTCATTGCTAGCTTTGTTTGAATCAAGTGGTAAAACAGCAACCGCGCGACAAAACAAGGTTACCATAATTGATACACAAACACTGGTGATTTCACTGCCCTTGCTAGCGCAACTGCTGGAGTGACAGCTGACTTCTAGACCATAAAAAGGAACCGAAAAACAAATAAATGAGCCAACAGCTGGGAGTTGCGTGCTCAGAAATGCTCTATGAACAATGACTCGTCTATAGTAAAATTGCGCAGTCAAATAAGGCTATTGCCCACCTAACGCACCTGTTAGGTAGCAAATCAGCTGCTTTCCTTATTAGCATGTGTGCTTTTGTAGCATTTCCGATTCTAAGTTGGAATCAATGGATTATAACGGATAAAAACAAGCTGAGGTTTCAAATTGAAACAGCGGATTATAATGGATAAAACAAGCTGTTTCAAATTGAAGGGATTTAGAGAGCCCCTTTGTTTTCATATTGTTTGAGTGAAGCAGCCTTTTGTTTCTTCAATAGCCGCAACGTAAACCGAAGACGTGATCTACAGTTAAGTCGCGTTCTTTTATTGGCCTCCCAATTTTTTGTTTGAAGTGAACGAGTTTACCTCGAAGGCTTGGCTCGCGCAATTTAATTAACCCCTTTTATGAAGCACTGAATAGCTTATGGTAGAAAATGAAGTTAATTTAATTTAGCCTTTCAATTGTGCTCCATGTACCAGCTATTGAAATTTTACCGTGGGAAAAATTTGCACGACTCTTCTATTTCAGGACCACAATCGTGGAACGCCTCTATCGACACAAAAGACAATAACATGGGCAAAATGCCTAGTCATGTGACATTGTATAAGTCAAAAGCTAACAACAGGTTTCTTTGTTTGAAGAGCACTTTGCGCTAATGAGTGACAGTGATTTTAATCTCTTATGCGATCGATGTAACAATTTTCATATCTCTGCTGAGAACGTGATAGAATTCCCAAAGAGGCTGGAATGTTATCAGAAGTTGTCAAAGGTGCACCTACATAACTTACATATCTTGACCGGAACTTCCAAGGGGCCCAGGCAATTCAGTTGATGGCAAAGTTGGTGCACGTAGTAGTTAGTGTTCACAAAGCACTTAAAGCAAGAATCTTTGAGTTTTGAACAGTAGGCATAAGTGATTCTCAGTGCTTTTTCAGTTTTACCAATTTGTTTTACCAGGCAAACAGAATACCTCGTGAGCACTTTGAATGCTGCAAAAACATTGTCCTCAACAGAGAACAGGGGGTCCATGAACTATACCTGATTTTAGTTTGCAAGACATTTGAGGAGTTTGCAACCGAAACCTGCACCTCATTGTTATCGGAACGCTATTCTTATCTAGCCGAAGGAAGAAACTCGGATAGCTAATTCTAATTGTGCTGGTCCCAGAGCTAGACATCGCGTCAACTTGTAAGCTTGTGAATAAAAGCTCAATGAATGACTATTAATGTGGATGCTACCTCGCAGTATTACATGTGGCACAATTCGTTTTTCATTATTGGGTGAAACGATACACCGAATGCTATATTTGACCAGTTGAACTTGGGCGCTCTTGGGAGTAAAAAGATGAGTTGATCACACCACTGATCGATAAGATAGGTTTAATCTGGAACTAACAACAAAGACACAAATAGGAGCCAAAATAAACGACTACAAGATGTCTACAATTGTTTGAAATGGCAGGCAGCCACTTCTAGATTACAGTTATCAAACGTTTGAAAGGCGTGTGTCAACGCCACATCCAAAAATTCCTGAATTGTGGTTATTGTTACAGGAAATAGGTCGTTAAGGTACTGACCTTGTAGGATGAATGTTCCCATTTTCACTTGAAATTCCTGTTGACAAATAAGCTCTCGCTGTATAAACAAACTGCAACTGCTGATAGCAGAGATCCACCTCTTATCAACAGAGATAACGTAAAGGAAATGAAACATTAGTCAAACCCTCATCACCTCGTTCTCACCTTGTTGGAGATAAGTTAACAAACCCTCTACACGGGGGAATGATAAAGCTATCACTCAAAGCAATTTTCAAGGTTAACAAAACAAGACGACATAACAAAAAACAGAGAACAGATAATGTGCGTTAAACTTCGAAAAGTTTGTTATTACACAATGGATCACCCACATTGTTGAAGAGGGTTGGAATGCTAAACAAAGTCAATAGCAATCGAGTGGAAGCATGCTTGGTTCCAAGTCGAGTCATTTTTTTCTGCCAAAGGTTCAGTTTCGAGTTGTGTTTACCTAAGAGTTTAGCAACGGTGAAAGAAGCACTCGAGGTAGCTCACCATGATGAGGGAAAGTTGCTTTATTGAATTGCGTGGTAGTGTCACTGGCCATTGAGACTTACAACATGCTAGTAAAACAGCGTGACATCGTAAAAAAGCCCCTCGACCTAGACGTAGACTACTAAAGATAACATAAGCTGTAATTGGTTGGGAGGGACTTGGGAGGGACTTTAAACACTGCCTGCTCCTGGTGGGGCCTCGATACAAACCGTGAGGTCATTGTCTTTTTTGTGACTGGCACACACACTGGCAGGTCGGAAGTTCGCGCCTACAACAATGTGTAATCACATCTCCGATGGCACAGGCATTATTCATTGGCGGGTATTTAATAACTAACTGTTAGGCGGAGAGACCTTGAACTTTGTTGGAGAAGAAGCCGTTTCTTCAGTCAAGTAGCTGTGAATAATTGATTGCTATCTTATGTTGGATTTATTGAATGAAACTATTGAGAAGCCAGTAATCTTTTCCCACGAGGCTCAAGTCTTGGATTTGGCATTCCAAAGGTGAGTGCGTTCCGCTTTCGTCGATATCTGACGAGGTGAGGTACTCGGTAAATTATATAACGGAGCCAATTTTTCCCCAAAGAGCATAGGTTCAATTTCCGGAAACTATCAACACGCTGAGTTTATCACTGAATTATCAGTTTCATATCTACTGTTTTACAAGTTTCGTTAGGACAGCAAAGTCGCGAGTGAATCGGCACTATTCATAGGTCTCATTGCACCAACTCAAATGGAAACGGAAAGATTTGATAGAATTTACATTAGACCCACAAGGAACTTTTGGGTATTTGGAGAGTTCTCTGGATGAACAGTACATAGCTCTGGGCTGTCCAGAACTCAAAGCAGTTGAAGATTAAGGAAAACAAAAATCACTAAACAGCCTTTGGTAGCGCTAAAAATGCATCTGTTTCATACGAATATGAAATAGGAAATTCGGCGCAAACTATAACGATGTACTATATGCCTCTCTTTCGAGGAAGTTAATGGAGGTATTTAAATACAGGAAATTCTGTTTGTAAACAAACTCTTTGTTTAGGCTTCAATTTACACGGGTTATTGACGACAGACTTAGAGTTATCAAAACAATTTAGAAGCACTGTAGTCTTATTTGCTGAGGTGCCCATTGGCTTTCGTTAGACAGCGACCACCATTAATATTCAATTTGCAATTCATCCACCGGTCGATGGAGTATTATTCGTGTTTTCAGTCGAAACAATGGATCGCCACGGTCTACCTGATCTGTGTTTACTATGACCGTGGTTTAATATTCAAAGACATGGAGATTTCGAAACGGCGTGACCCCCGAATAATTGACATCAATTTCTGAGAAAAAAACAAGAGAGAGCCTATAGCGTAGTTTGTCTTTGTAGTATATTGGACAGAGTTCGCGAAGATTGAAGGACAATGCTGTAAATGTAAATATGCCAGAACAAACACGTGGGTCTGACAATTGACAAATCTCTTTGAACTCCAACGTTAAGAAAACATAGCCAAAAAGGGTTGCTAGGATTTATCGATGCTGTCGTCACGAGATTTTGGATCAATGCACTATGGTAAAGAGGCTCAATTTCATCAGATTCTAGGCAGGGGTCGTTTGTGATTGATGGGGTCGAAACAAGAGAAACTTTTCATTACACAGCCTCGGGGAATGCCAGAACGTTTTAAAAGCTCTAAGAAACGGATGGAGTTTAACGGCGGCTGATAAGCGAAGGTAAAGACAAAGTAACATGTTGACTGACACTATGATGATTTGCTTGTCTAAACAAACAAGCTTAACAGGCATTATTTTCAACAGTTTTGTCTACGAGATCCCTGCGTGTGAGCGAGTCCGTACTCAACAGACAAGATTAACTGACATTTAATTTGAACTTTCGAGAAACATAGATAACAGTGTCAACCGCAGTCCATCGGTTATTGGCGTCGATATAAATGCTATTATTCAGCGGCTATTTCGAGGTTTGCGCTCATTAATCGTTTAGCAAACACCTGATCTTTACCTTGGTGTTATTGAAATAATGAGGTCTTGCAAAGTCCATGGAATAATGTTTCTGAATCAAGCCCCTAAGTAACCATAACATTGGCAATTGAGGAACCAAAACAAAGGAAATACATAAACATTTCACAAGCTTCCTGTGATCAAACGAATCCGCCTAAAAGCCGAAAATAGCACTCAAGGTCTTTTTCACCTCATAGAGAGCGATTTCTGCCAGTAGATAATGGTTCGGGAATTTTAAAAGCGAGCTAAGATTTCACGAAACCGTATTCAAGTCCCACGCTTGTCACTTAATTATCACGTTCCCGCCAAGGGCAAATCTGTCAACTCGGAGGGCTTGACAAACCATAAATGCAATAAACGTTGCGAATATATAATCACTGTCCTGTAGTGAAATTTAGATTAGTTCAGTAAACACAAACAGCAGGTTAACAGATAAACTTCCGCGGAGTTCTGTCAATTCTTTTCAAGACCGGATTGTGGGAAAAAAACCGGAGAAAATAAGTTCACAAGATGTGCTTTCGTAAGCGTATGCAGAGCGGCGATGTGTTGACTTATCCGACTTAGCACGCATTAATACACTAACTTCTACTTCAAGCACATTTCAATTAAGTCCCACGCGAGACAAGACAACTGTTGTTTCAGATGTAAATAATAGGGCAATAAATTGAAGCACGGCCAATCAGAGTGTTCGTGCTTGGAAACAATTATGTCTAGCGAGGACAGTAGGAGCACAACCCGTGGAGAAAATATCAGAGCGACCCCAGTTACTTCTTCAAAAGCTTCCCGGTTCTTCTCAAGGTTAACTGACGGGAATAAATTGGTTTGAATCGCCTTAGCTTCGGAAAATTTTGCCGCATCGAGATAGGGCAAGATATTCTCCTAAGCTGAAAGCTGAAAGACAAGAAAAAGGTAATTGAATCTTTAGCATGTTTTTACGAAAAAAACTTATCGAGTTAACAGTGATCCAGTGTCCATCGAATTTCACTCAGTGCCCAGATATAACATCCTTTGCTTGACTTAATGAGTTGTCGCATGATTTCTTCGAGGAAGTTCGCGTGCTTTTTGATAATGTCATTCAAGAAAAAAAAAAAGGCACAGCTGTTTTTTATGTCATTTTTTTATTTCCTTCAAAAGAAAACAAAGCCGGCTTTTGCCTCACACTTTAGGTCAGATTTTAAATTTGTGAGACAGGATCGTATTTTCCTCGTACAATTACAAAGACAAACAATTTGCGTCGATCTGATAAGGCTCAGAGGAGATGAATCTGGTGTTGCAACACGAAAATGACCTTTGAATTCCATCTTTCTGTGATTAAACCAGAAATAGGAGAACCGCAGCTGCAGATTTCCGGTGAACAAGAGCGTGGTATGTCTCCGAAACATTTACACAGCTTTGTGTATCCTTACACTAGATTTAGACGTCTTCTCGTTGTCAACTTCAATGAAAATGCCCCTTACAAACTGGAAATTGTTTGTTTACACTGAATTATAAATCTTTAACAACTCTTTTGAATAAACATTTGGAATGTACACAAACCTTAATAGTACCAGCAAATACTGTAATCAGCCTCAGAGACGTTTCAGCGGCGAAATATTTACTTTTGAGGGGGGTTTCATGACGTTGCAGTCACTCTAAACTGTAATTAAAACCAAGGAAATAATAATATTAAGCTCATTCTTGACTGCGGGAAAATGAGTATTTGGGCTTATCAACAAGCGCCGCTATCGCTTTAAACGAAACCCGTTGACTCAATTCAGAACATTTCTAATCAAGACAGTTCTTTTGAGTGATAAGGAAGTCCGCTTGTCTCGCTTAATTTGGAAATGTTTCGCGCGTTCTTGTCAAACACGGCTCGATTGTCTGGCTCTTGGGCCGCGCACAGGTGGAGCGAAATAAGCGCTCCTGTCTTGTGTTTTTGTCCTGTTGTTTTCGCAGAAAGAGGAAAGCGCATTTGCATGGTACAGGACCCCAGCGTGGGGCAGCATTATCGCGTAAAAAGAGTCACAGCGGGAAGTTTGTAATAATAAAAAATAAAATCTACATCGTATAATTAAAGCTAAATAGCCTGCACTTGGGCCAGACAACATGTGAATTGCTTTGTGCCTTTCAATACCCTTCATCTGCCGATTGCTTCTTTCTGATTGGTATAGTCGCGAACCAGGTGTTAACTATGGGTGTGGGGAAGAGCGTTTCACTTTTCGCTCCTCCTTGATGATAACGGGAGAATATTTTCGCGCCTTGGGTGTAAATATACAACAAGAGTCAAGGCATTTAAAAAATTGTACACTCATGAGTGTTTGATAGAAAGGTAAACGAAATTTGGCATAGTTGGTGTAAATAATAAAAGTGAATGGATAGAAACAATTAAGGGCCTAAACGGACAACTAGCAGCTGCCAGAGTAGGTGGTCGCATTGCTACCAGACAAATAAATGAATCAATTGACGCTTTGTAAAGAGCATAATGATTGGTTCGATGGACAAAAGATAGCGTGATGTCAGGATATTTATAGAAAGTGATAGATAATGAATAGAAGAGCCAATCAAATGTCATATCGACAAGACAAACACCAAACAGTCTTTAGAATTTCTAATTTATATATTATTGCCACAGAACAGCCTCCAACACTTCAGAATTAACTCTGTCAAATACAAGAAAAATGGCCTCGGCAAACCACGAGCAGCAACTCAGCAGCTACGAGCCGGAGCTGAAGAAGGAAGACGGTGGATCAAGTCCAATCGACAGCGAAAAAGCCGAAAGTAAGGAAGTCTCGTCGAAAGATCCCAATGTAAAGCCGCCGTACTCGTACGTCGCGCTGATCGCGATGGCGATTCGAGAGTCTTCCGAAAAGCGGTTAACCCTCAATGGAATTTACCAGTACATTATCAGCAAGTTTCCGTTTTACGAGAAGAACAAGAAGGGATGGCAAAATTCCATACGGCACAATTTATCACTCAACGAGTGCTTCATTAAAGTGCCTCGAGAAGGCGGCGGTGAGAGAAAAGGTAACTACTGGACCTTAGATCCAGCCTGCGAGGACATGTTTGAGAAAGGAAACTACAGGCGCCGGCGCCGTATGAAGAGGCCCTACCGTCAGCCCACATTGCAGCACACAAACGGAATGTTGACAGATCCGCGCGCTGCAGCGTACGGAAACTTCATCGCTCCAAAGTGGTCGGCATATAACCCAGTTCAGAGTGTACCTGCAGCAGGGGGAAACTGGCGAACTGCTCAACCTGCTGGCCCTCTTTCGTACCCGTGCAACCCGCAATCGTCTAGAGTTCCACCAGGATATGCGGTTGCACCCTACATGAACATGGGATCAACCGTTGGAGTCCCCGTCAGCTCATACACAGGTACGCAGTATTCTACACAAATCCAGAACCCCGTGAATAACCAGTGTGGGTACGGAGCCGTGGCAATGCCCAGTGTAGGCTGTCGCAGACAAACTGATCATACAGCCGCAGTCCACGGCCACCACTTTACTAATCCATACTGGAATCCACCAGACAAGCATACCTTTGATGCTCAACCACGTTCGTAGAAGAACGTGTGCGAGAGATTAATGACTGCAAAACGTTTCTACGACCTAGAGATTTTATTTATATGAAGCCACGTAAGAATTACTCTTGGATCCTAGTGGAGAAAGAAAAACTAAATACAAAAAAAGAAAAGGGATTAACAAAGTTTAGATGTACACTCCAAATAGAGATTTCATGTAATATTTGAGTATTATATTTACTTTAATCATTAAATCAGAAGCCCCCTTGATATGGTATCTGGGCATTCCAGCCAGGGCAACAGTTGACCTACAGACAAATCGAATTGTACCAAATCATATATTATCTACAATACAGAAGAGAGAGAAAAAAGAAGACATGATTTTTTTCTTCGATTTATCCTTATTTCGCACGTATTCGTATGATGAAAGTTCATACAGTAAGGTAACGAGCTAGTAAATGCATTAGTTACACTTTAGTGAGTTGTTATTAGCGTAGGCTTTCTATTTCAGTGTCAGGCGTCAAACGCCATCTCTTTACCGCGGAGAGAATTTCATTTCATATCTGCGATTTGCAGAACACTTTCAACTAAAAGGATTTTGTCGATCTATTCCTTCCATTTTAGAATTATGAGAGAGTACCTCTAGCATTTGTTGACTTTAATTTTGAATAATTCTACGAACGGGCGATAACTTGTCAGTTGTACAGGAGCCGTTTCAAACGTTCAAAGAAATACGGAAGAAAATGAATTTTGTGACAATAATTTATTTGCTAAGGCGGCGGTGTCACTGTCTTTTCTACGCCTTCAATGCAAATAAACTCTTAACCAGGATATCTGGCTGTTTTGATTTCCTTGAGTAAATATGGGGATAACACCATCGAGCGTCTCTAGACGCTCAAAATTGTGAAGTTCTCAGCCCAAGTAGTAAATAAAATCATTGAAGAAATTTGGGTCACTAGGTCAGAAACCTATACGCTTCTCAATCAAGATGGCTTCGCATCCTTGAGAATCGTACGATTTATTCGAGATTCGGATTTACGGTGATATCAAGGACATTGCTACATGGCACTTTCGTCACCTACTGCTTCCCTTGAACTCGGCAGGCGATTTCACTACTGGACTGTGGTTTGAGCTGTCGAACTGCACTGATTACATGGCCGTAACCTGAAAATTATTTGTCCGATCTTGTAGTATTTATCATTGGTTCCATTATCCTCCCACTATTTACTTTATCGTTGTCTCTGCTGTCTGCCACTCTGGTCTCGTAGCGCAGTTTATTAATCCAAATCAGCACCGCCAATGGGCAGGCAAATATGAGAGAAACTAAGGAACTGTTTGTTATTATGGGCCGTGTTTTTATTCGGAATATAAACCATCGCTGAACTTTATGGTGTTTTGACATCGAATTAAGCTTTTTCCATCGCTTATTGTTAACCAAACTTTCTGTTAAATAGTCAGCGATTAAATTCGAGAACGCTGACAAGGTGAGGGTCTTTCGCACCCAGAAGTGACACGAAATTTGACACTGTTAACTTAATTTTAAATGTTGTTATTGCGAGACCTTCGCTTGCTTTTTTTCGCGTGATTTTTAAGTCAAAAATTGTAAATTACCCGATGAAATTTACATTCCGGTACACGGATCTGTACCGATAAACACAACACAGTTTTTATTCTACCGAAATAACAATGAACAAAAAAAAAACTTTCGACGTGCCCAAATTTCTCACACGCGTGGAAATCTAAGCAATGCATGAAAGTAGCCGGCGAAGACTTCTTGTATTCAAATTAACCACATATCCCGAGGCATTTCGGCGAGATAAGAGAATCATCATTTATGGTCGCGCGGCCTTCTAAATCTCACAAAGGATCTCAAAGCACGACACGTGTGGAAAACACTTTACTTGTCGTGACTGAATTCATTTCTTAAAAAAAGTTATGGTATAAAAATGATTTGGTCCTCATGAACTATCCGAAAAAGAACTTTTTAAAAACGATAATTTTTTTTTTCTTAACAGGTGGATCATTATTTTGACTTGCTGTTTCCGCAAATTTCTTTCTTATATTAGATGCGTGACGGACAGTTAAAAAATATCTAGGGTGGGAAATTTTACCGATCCAAGCCTTTCCGAAACAGCTGTGATAAACTGCAACTCCGTTTGCAAGGAAATGGAGAGGAAATGTTTCTGATTAAAGAGATATATTACATTTCCATGGATGCGAGAGGGTGCGCTGCTATAGAACAATCCCTGCGGGGTGCCCTCCTCTGCGTGAGGAGCGGCTTGAAACCGTCGTACGCTAAAATCTCTAAGAATTAAACACATTAGCAGGAAAATTGAAGAAGAAATGACACTGACAAAAGGGAAATTCGATGTTTTTAACCGCTAAACGAGCCCCATGCGAAACTAACGCTCGGTCAGCTGCAAACCTGTTTATAGTCCAGACCAAGTTTGAGCAAGGGGTTGGTTGTTTTCTGTTTCATCGGCAGCGTTGTCAAAGCTTTGTTTAAATTTATCAATATTCGAACAAAACTGGGCAAACTGCAAGGATCGGCAAGGAGGAAAGGGCAGCATAAAGTTTATTTACCTTTTTCAGGGTTAACTGGCTTTAATGCTCTTTGCAATGCCTATGTTAGAGGACATATTTAAGTGTTATATAACACGACCGCGCAGGTTTTCTTTTCGAGTCATTCCCTTATCTGCCCAGGACATAAACAAACCAAGGATGCTCCTCCATGGCGAACTTCATTAACTTTGAACACCAAGCATTCGGTTTGGAATTGTGCTAGGAAAGCTGGCCATGGATATACGTCGATGGCAAGGTCCCAACCCCACAGTATTGCACAGTTATAGATTATCGATTCACGCGCGGTCTGTTTAAAGAAGGTATCAGCGATAACTTTAAAAGCACCTGTGAACTTGCAGGGAAGCTATTTTTTCTGATTAAGGACAGTGCGCCGCATTTAAACTTAAAAGATCAAGCGTAGCTTTGTTCTCTATTCTTGTCACGATTCTATAATTTTCTTGTATGGTTTGATACTGCAAGGAAGAGTAAGCATTTTTTTTCGGATCTTGTAGGTGCCGGCCCTTTTTAATCCTCGCCGAAACTATTGTCGTGTTGTTTATGCTATAGCGGCTTTACAGAGGCTAGGTGGTCTCTGAATTCAACACCCCTTTTCTTCTAAAGAGGCTGATATTTTGAATCGTCGAGTTAGCCATCGCCTCAAATGAAACACTTGAGAAAATAACACAATTACAGTTTTTCATTAATTCTTTAAAGAAGAGATGATAAACCCTCTTCAATCCTTTATAAAAAAAAAAAAACCCAGAGAATATTAGCGCAAACAAGAGCAGTTTTCACGGTTTATTTTTTAGCTCTTTTAACAACACTGAGTGCACTTCTAAAAACATGGGAAAGATTCAAGTGTTTTTGTGTACACCCTTTGAATTGCCTGTTATGACGACCACCAGAAGTATACAATCCAGGCTTACCAATATATTAATTTGCGAGCTTTTTGCCTCTTTCCCCAATCTAAATATACCATAAAAATTCACCAAGAAAAATTGGCGTTAAAGGCAATATATTTTTATTTTAAATTAAAACAAAGGGGTTAGTATTTCTACGAAAGCTTTTTGGTGACAAATTAAGTAATGCGTTTGGAAAATAGTTGGAATCAAATATTTAAAACAAAGCGTGTAAACCAATACGGAAGAAAACACATCTGTTTCAACTAGAGCAATATTCCTTTGAGCGATAAATTACATCTGTGTAAAGCTGGAAAGGAAAAAAACTACCTCAGTTTAAATGATATCACTGTGCCAAATTAGCTAAGATCGATATCGCGTCGAACGCAATCTTCCAAAGCGCGAGTCAACAGTAATTACACTGATCTGGTTACATTTGATCAGCAAGAAGGTCTACTAAGCCACTACACGCTCAACATCTTTTGAAATAATTTGCGAAGAATTTAAGCTATAAAGAGGGTACCTCTCAGAAAAGCCATTCAATGAAGCAATACGCTTTGGCACGCGAAGAACCGACTATCAATGAACACCGAGTACAATAAATATTTCATTAAATTTAGAACATTCTTAACTGGTTTTCTCTCTCTTATCCTTTAGCACCGTCGGCTTATTAGGTGGAAATAAAAATATTCCGACAAAATGAGGATTATCTCTGTTTAATAATGAAAATTGGGCACCTTATGGTGTCTCACAGTTACTGAGTCATCGGTCATTTCTTTCACAACTTTGATGGCAAGTTGTGTTCATCTTTGTAAACGATGTAAATAATAGATTCCTTCCTTCGCTTTGATCTCAAACAAGCTTAATAAAAGAATAAAGCCAAGACACTGCCGTCAATGATAGCTGAACGAGTCAGCCTTTTCAAACGTAGAATGTTCACAAAGGCGCAAATTGAAAATTGTACTTGGGAATGGCAAAGAACAGAGTTAAATTCTAACAACCGGGGTGTCACAGCGCCGCGCGAGATTGATCTCTCGGTCGGGTCTCTATTTTGCTTAACTTGCACACTTATCAAAGAAAACAATGAAGATATTTCGTAAAATAATGACGACCGAAACCCTCCCGTGTAAATTCTTGTAAAAACTTATGCCGCGCAAGCTAAATAAGATCGACCATTTTATTTTAACGCGACATTCGGCCGTTGGAACCATGAGGACATATTTTACGTATCTAGTTTATAGCCTAGTTACAAGGCAAAGCCACACGTTAAGGCTTTTCGTAGATAATACGAAAACATTTACAGGAAGATAACGAGCAATAAGCAAACTTCCCAGCGGGAATATTACACGAGTGCTTAAATATAAAAACTACTGCTTTAAAATAACTTCCTTGACATTAAAATAGCCTTCTTCTCTTACTTCTTCTTCGTCTTGTTTCTAGCATCTGTTCCCATTTCCTGCTTAGCCGCGTCGTCGTGTCGATGAACATTTTATTAGGAAGTTCTTTGGGATTTTTAGTAAATATCTGCCCGGATAGACCTGCGTTAACAGATATTTTTGCTTGGTGCTGCACTGATGCGAAACGAGACGGTCAACTAAGGGCTTGCTTAAAACCACAAACGAACACATGGCGACCCCTTGCTAGTCATACACGATGGTGTCAACAAATTAGAATTACAAAACCGATAAGAAATTTGAATTTTACAATGACGGCGGTGCGGCTCGTGACAATCAGGCAAGGCGAATAGCTCGTTTAATCTTTCCTTTCACACAGAATACTGCAAAGTTTACTAGCTTGTTTGAAGCGAGGAAAGACAATTCTTTGCTTGCAACAGCGAAACTTTTCCTTAGACATTCCCCAATACATATAGTTTACAAGTTTAGCAGGCCAAAGGTAAATAGAACAAATATTCAGGCCGGCATTTTTTTATTAAATTAACACAAGAGTTCCTTCTCTCTGTTCCGAAATCGTTGTCGAAATCTCTTGAACTTTTCACCCGAGCATGTCGTAGGCAAATATTGCTCTCGGCCGCGGTCAAACAAATTATTGGTTTTGTATGCAGTGATGTTTACGTTTATCTGTCATCACACAAAATTAATTTTACCAAGCAGGTTCTCGTAATTCAGAATTTACAGATTGTTATTGCCTTGAAGGACTTACAATGAATTCATTAGGTTTTGAGCTGCGGCTGAAGATTGGACTTAATTAGCAATCTCTACACGTTTTCATCTTGAACATGGCAATAGATAAACCATCGAGGACTCGAAGCGTGAACTATCTAAACACATTGAACTCGAACCCATTCAAGCCCGTAATTAAGATGTTCAAATGAAATTGAAGAGCGAAAATAAAGCTTAAGAACTTACAACAGA